CAGCCGCCGCGCCGGCGGCGGGCGCAGCATCCTCCAGTCAGAAATGCACGGAAGAAATCCAACCAATTTGTTTTATGTTTTTTTACTTTCCGGAAAACCATTTGAGGGAGGCAACCCGGAAAAAGAAGGCAACGCTCAACAGCACCAGCCAAGGTGTCCAGACTTTCTAAAATGGTCGCGGCGCCCGTCTCGCCCTTCAAAAACAACCCTTGAGAACGGTTCTGCGTGGCTCAAAACAAACCCTGAAAAAGACAAGCCCTGAAACAGGAACTCAAACAAAGCCAAGGAGAAAACAACACTTGGGGACAAAGAACATCTTGGAAACAATCGCCTTGAGAACAAGCTTGGAAACATACATTGAACACAAAGTTGGAAAAACACACTTCAAACACCCAACTCCAAACAGCACGCCTCCCTTTCTTCGAACACTCCGCCTGCGCAGCCGCTGGGCATTCAGCACCATGGCCTAAAGAATTGGGCGCAGGTGAGCGGAGTTTTTACGCGAAATCACCGTGTCTTGAAATACGGGGACCCTGAAAAGGGTGGTTTAACCCAGCCGAAGGCTAACCTCAGAAAGACACAACTGCAAATGACACACCCCAATGGATAGAACGGATCCCATCCTTCAGAAAAGAGTCGGGAGGTTTGCTTCCCTGACAAGGAACTCAAGGAACTGGGAACAACTGCTGCCTAGCCATGGCAAGTTTGGTTCCACATAACGTGACCTGTAACCATGATTGGAGCAAGCCCAAGTCATAAACAAAATGCACCAAAAATCCGACTGCTCGGTGAACTACCGGCCACCAGTACAGCTCAATTGTCCAGTAACCGCAAATAAAGGGAACCCTTGGGGGTTCAGCCAAGGTGAAGCTATCCGGGCAGACATTGACTCGCCTCTCCTCAAACATGCTGCGGTGCACGGGCGCACAGTTGCGAAATCCTGTCGAACACGAGAACCGATGTCTGCCAATTTCACGGCCGAACGTACGCCAAACCAGTTGGTTGGAGGGGGAAATGGATCAATCAGAAGACCTTTGGCAGGGACGCTCCAAAGACCTAAGGGTACAAAAAGTGGTAGCTGGCTGATCTTCTTTTGGAGGCTCAGAGCAACCAAGCCGCCCCGCGCGACGAAAAGACTTAGGCGCCCACATCTGGTTCCCTCCTTCTAGGCGTCTTGATCGGACAAGAAAACCGCTGGGCTGGACAGATCCGACCCCTGAAAAACAATCAAATCAGGAGTTGCCGGTTGAGAAAAAACATAAAGACAAAAAGCGGCAGAAACTCCTCACCATTCTCAAGGGGGTCACTACCGTGATCAAAAGTCAACCCCCCAAGTGGCAGAAAATAATTTTGATGGTCAGAAACTGTTAAATCAAGACCACGCAATGCCCTACAACACCAACACAAAGTATCATATTGACAAGTTATCATGAGAGGGATGTGTCTGCGAGGAGCCTGCACCCAAAATCGGTCAGGCCAAAAAACCTCCGAGGCCCCGAGCCGCGAGGAGCAACATCCCCGGCACCAGGCGCGGGGAAGCGCTCTGCGCAGCTCCAAGGGCGCGCCTGCGGAAACCAAAGGAAGCCTCGCCCCCCACCCCCCTCCATGGATGGACGAAGCCCGACTTGGGGGGAGACGTCTAAAAGCAGATTTCGTCCATCGACACGGCTCTACATGTCCGCCCCCAGGCAAGGGCTCCATGGTGAAGCCAAGGATGCGAAGTGTGCTGAAGCCAAGGACACTGTGCCTAGCTCCTGCGAGCATGCCCTCTTGGGGCCAGGAATGTCGCAATGTTGCACAACCTTCTTGGAAGGAGTTCTTAGAGGAATCCACCGGAACCACAACATGTTGCTTCCCTTTCAAGAAATTGGACTAGGGCTCAACAGGCTCAACATTTGTTGCAACAAACCAGGTGTTTTACCCACCCAAAGGGCAGCAAGAGGCAAGAACATAAAGGAACCAATTGCACAAGCCCTTCGTTCCTTGTGTTCCTCTGGCTTCTGACGGCTTCTTTTCCACTTCCGACGCCTGGGGCCCAGCCGCGTGCTTTGCCACGGCCGGTCCGCGCAGAGCGGCAAGGGCTGGACCCTTGGCACGCAGGGCGCCCTGGCGCCGCGCCGGTTGCGCCAAGTTTGGTGCTTCAAAGGGCGCTCAAAATTTGGTTAAGGGAAGAATAAGGGGGGTTTGAAGGAACTTTGTTGAGAGGGCTTTAAGGGGTCCTTCAGAACTTCATCACAAGGTTGCAAGAAAGAGATCGCAAGAACTTGCCCAGAATTGGGGGGCCACTGTTGGGCTTTTTACAAGGGCGTTTATGTTGTTCGCTTTGTTATTGCCTTTCGTGGTTTGTTGATACTTTTTTGCTAAAACTTAGACTTGTGGGGTATGTAATATGATATGTGATAAATAACATATCTCTAGGCGGTTCTAGGCGATTCCAAACCGCCCAAGCAAAAGTTGACCAACCGGAAATATTGGATCGCGAGGGCCCGGCGAACACTTTCGGAACGAGCCTGCAGGTCTTGGATGGTCTTGCTCCAAACAAGCTACACTATGGCTGACATGGGACTTCAAGTACTCAGCTTCTATGATAAGACCCGGCATACGTCCGCCATGTCCGCCACACCATGTCTCAGTCTTGTGCGATTTGGACGTTTCTTGCACCATGTCTGGTCAGATGCATGGTGGGTGGCTTCGACTGATCAAACCAGGCACGCCACTCGCAGCAAACAGCGTACTGCAGCTGTACATCGTCACGATGGTAGATTGCCAGCGCTGGGGAACTGGCGACATCTGCATCAAGAAGCTTTTGCTTTCAGGTCTGCACTGGTAGGGCTTGATGGTGATGCGCGAGGATAAGCCGCAAACCCGTTGAAATCCGGAGCCGACGTGAGCGACTTTTCTTAAGGGTGCCATATTGAGGGATTGACTTAAAGGGAAGCCACAAGGAAACTCGCCTATTTTGAAACATACCAATATTAAAACCCAAACCCTGGGGTTTGGGGCATACACATCTGCATCTCTGGTGCGAGCAAGGTGAGTGCGTCCAGCTGACTTCGCCGGTTTTACCCTTGTTTGGTGAGTCGGTGCATGCTGTTTCCGCCCCCACAAAGAACAAAGGGGCACTTTGACAGGGGCCCGAAAAGAGGGTTGGCTGTTTGGCCTAGAAAATCCCGACCGCTTTTTGCGATCAGCTTGATTTGGCGTCGACTCCAGTGCAGACCCGGCGAGTGACAATGCGCAAATGTTGGGGTCAACGTCAACTTCCAAAAGCCGGCCTGAGAACAGAGAATCTCATAGCTCAATGGATGAGAATGCAGGCATGCTCAAAATTGCTTGGGGTTGCTCTGTTATTTGCGGCTGTAGAAAATCCCGCTTTCTGTGGGTCAGTCCCAAGACGAGCTTTTCCCTTCAACGGGGATTCCCTTATCACAGAAATTGGTCCTAAGACTAACCGGGTGCCAGCCAGGAACTCGATCCTCACTTTGGGCTATTCAAAGTGGAGGGCTCGCCAATCCGATATTCCGCCGCCTCGTATTTGAAAAGCGCCAGTTGCAAACCCTGATCCTCTCCCTCCCCCCCGCCCGTTTGCCACTCAGACCCTCGATGAGGCCTACTCACAGGCATCATTGGAACAAACCACCCCACGCACCCGAAGTTAGGAATCCCTTTGCATTACCCAGGACCTCTGTATTTCTCGTGATCCCGGGGTTTGAGGCCTCCAACAACTGGGGGGAAACCAGAATCAATATGCCTGACTCGACCTGCAAAACAAAAACTACTTTTAAAGCCGAACCCATTAACAAGGGAAACGACCCCCTGGCCAGTTCCCTGCCCAAGGGCCTCGCCGGCCACCCTGAAAGCGAAAGAGCTGCCATGGCACTAGGGGCGAAGCTTGGCCCGGCTCGGACCGAATCCTTTCGCGGAGACTTCCCGTAGCGCACATTACGTTGCTCAACCCCCACTGCTTGTTTGGTTTCCCTTCCTTTCAACGCCAGGCTTTCGAGTCCATATCCACCTTTGTCAGAAAAAAACCGTGGAAAACCAAAAACATGTGGTTTCCCTTTGGTCACCCTTTAAGACAGCTTCGAAGATTCGGGATCCCGACCAATGTTTGGTCGGGTTTAAAGGAAAACTCGCCGCCATGTTTGGGGCATCCAAGCAAGTTCCGGCAACTAGTATCTGGATGCAGAGCCTCGATGGGAACCTGGTTCTTGGCGATGGCGAGCATTTATGTCCCATTGTTTAAGCAAGCCCCGACGTAGACACAGAAACCCACTGATTCTCGGGTTCAGCCTTAGGGGCAAGCAAGAAACGGACACCCTGTCGCCATCCAAAGGGGAGAGGCCGGTTTCCCCGATTTCAAAAGCAGGACTATTTGTGCACAGCCCGAAAATCAGGAACCTCTAGAGATGGTCGGGTTCCTTTTGGTGTCCCCTGAAACTTTGTACAGAAGGGCTCCTGCTTTCCTTGCAACCCCAAGCTTGGAAAAATCGATCTGAGTAAAATGCTGGAAAAAGGGGCGCACTTTCCATGGGCAACCAAAAGGAGATGTGCGAACCCGCTCAAAGCAATTGTGGGGAGCAATGCAGCACATTCAGGAAGCCAGTGGAACACATGGCAAAACCCGTTGAAATGCCACACGCCAGAACGCACTCGAGCACGCCGAACATCACCTGCATAGAGTTGTCAAGTTTCAGCCACCTACTGTATCACGCAATCATTGGACTAAAGGTCATACAAGGCTTCCTGACAATACACCCAACAAGCAACAGATCTCCGGGTAAGTCCCCACATGATGAGCCCATGCTGCGTGGAGCATGTCCAATCACGCAACATGCAAATCCTCACCTGGATGCTCTGCGTATGGAGACCTGCACCAGCACGATGCAACAAAAGGCATCACCCGTCCATAGGACCAAAGTCGCCCCCAAGTTTGGACACGACCCCAGTTCCTAAAGCTGATCTCTCAATACCCAAGCCCTCCAATGGGGAAAAGGGGCCTTCTCCTGTGCGAGCTGCAAGCCGCCCGCGTCCACAGAGCTGGCCTGGGAACGACCCATCCGCGCACTTCAGCGATCGGCCGAGCCGCGAATCGGTTTCTGCCCAAGATGTGGGGCTTATACCAAGCGCGTAACGGGGTTTTACTGCCCTCGACTCATTTAGGTGGTATAACCATATAATCTCTATTCGGACAGTACCATATAACCTCTGCAAGTCCCGACAACCCAGCAAAAAGATCTTGAAACTTGGAGGCGCATTTGCTTAGGTATGCCCTAGATTTTGGCACTGTTCAAGAATCAATACATCAGACGTCTGACCCCGCTGCTCTTGAGACTTCAGCTGGAGTCGCCGAAGCCTTGCCTTGCAGCCTCGAAAAGATCAAGCCTTTGGAAACGGGCCCAGACATGCAAGGATGCTGAGAAGTCTCCTACTTTGCAACGCGTGGTATGATTATCAAAGGCCACAACTCACCGCTCAAACTCAACGAGCTGAAAACCAAGTTCACCAAGCCGCGTCTGCTTCTGCGGATACCAAAACAGGGCCCAGCAACGCGCCGAAGCAACATCCGGCTGCAGCTTCACCGGAAACCGTCCACCCCATTTGAGCATAGTATACCATTCAGGTTTGGTATTGTCGATATGGTCACCTTACTTCATACTCAATTGCCCAAAGATGTTGGAAACAGAGTAAACCTTATGGCTTGAAACCCGGAAGCTGCATGCAAAAGCCCCGAGTGTTTGGCGTTGTCTCAAAATGGGAAGTGGCAAAAAACTGTGGCGATTGGATCTTCCCTTGTCCCTCAACCGCCTGGTTGCCTCCTCGAAACCGACTTTCGACAGAGGCCCGCCGTCACCTCAGGGCCGTGCCAAGGCGGCGGCCGCCGCCGCTGTGGGGCACGACGCCAGGGCCTGGATGCGAGCGAGGCTGAAAAGTGAAAACATGTCCATCCCGTTTTGGTGCCCAAAACCTTTGGACAATTTAGCACCATGCAACACAACCAGTTTTGGAAGGGAAACCAAATGTGATAATGTTTAAGAACGCATTGTGCACATGGTTCAAACTTTGGCAGGTGGGCACTCTACAACCCTTGACCATTCATATGTCCGTTCAAATCCTTCAGCTGTGTTCTTCTTTGTCCTGTGGTCAGGGAGTTTTTGTGGGATCCAGCCCCTGTTGCAGCCGGTCTGGATACTCCTTCTGGACCTAGGAAAATCCGAAAAGAATACCAAAAGAGTTCTCTTCTGACTAAAGATGGTTTTCACTTACAGGTCCCACAACCGCGTTCTGATTAATTCGGCCGCATTGCCAAACTCAGGGGCCTGGTGGAGGCCGGATCCACGGGAAAAGAACAACAAACCAGTTGACCGTTTTCTGGACAGTGACCATCCAATCCCCGATCCCCGACTTCGTCTTTGCCTGCGGAGATGCTTCGAGACCTCGCAAGACCGCTGGAGGTCACAACGGCACTTCCACAGGAACCCTGGTCAAAGTTTATTTGCTGCCCCAAGAGAACATGGGAAATGGGGCTAGTCTCTGGTTATATTTGGGGATCTAGTGAGTCGCCATGCCCCGAACCCCAAATGGACCGTCCGGAATTTTGACCGAACCTCACATGGCTGGACCACATCATGGCGGGGATGAAAAGGTCCACCGACCACTGTTAAGGATGTTCCAACTCTTCAGATTCATAGCTACTTGACCCTGGCGGCGTCGATCTCTCCGATTTAAGGGACTACTGAAAAAGGGTTCCTGATTTTGACAACCCCCCACATTGACATGGGTGTGTCTTATTTGAGGGTGCCATGCTTGTTTGTGGCTGTTCGCTCGGCCAATTCGACCGAGGCCCGCACTCTCGAGCACCGCCTGCGCCACCTGAAGCTCCCCCAGCCGCAAACGCGCCTGGATCGAAGGACGGGGGCGCCCGGGCGCCCAAACAAAAACCATTGGGGTGGGCGCCTCTACAACCATGCTTTCAACTGGGGCAACTGGGATTATCCCCCTTTTTGTGTATCAAAGGTTAAAAGAGATTGGAGGTTAGAGGATATTAAAGGCCAGTGAAGATTAAGAGAAAATAAAGACCTTTCCTTGGTGCTGTTTGAAAGGGAAACCATTGGGGGTAAGTCTATCTTGGGGTTGTTGTTGTTTTTCTCAAGGCTTTGAAGGGCCCTCCGGGAATCGCTGCAACATCTGAGTTACAGGGAGTTTGAAGGAAAAACGGTTCCCAAACAGAAACCACTGGGTTTAAGTGGGTATTTTTGCTGGGGTTTTCATCAACACCCAAGGCTGACAGTCAGAGATACCCAAAAATCAGATTCACAACCAACCTCCAAAGGAGAATCCAAGGAAAAGTGAAGGTAGGGCGCGAGCGGCTAACGTGGCCCAAGACTTTTTGTGAAGCCTGACCATTCATATTGACTGGGATTTGCTCCAAACACCGCGGAACTTCAGAAGGGAAGCTGCTTGAGTACCTTAGAAACCTACTCTTGGTTGGCTTCCCCT